ATTTACGTAGCTGTGGGTGCGTTCAATTCTCGTTATATATTTATTTCGATAGTGATAGGGAGGCAGCGTGCTGTAAAAAAAAAACGAAGCGTTAACGTCCTGGCCGAGCTCGTGCAATTTAGGCACTGACCGGTAGCGCCAGCGAGAATTCAGCGCGTTGTAGACAAGGTCTATGTTTTCATAAGGTTGCTGAGCATTGTCTGGGAGACCATTTTTCTACTAGTATTTGTTTTATCCTGAAAGTGCAAGTTCTGCATTAGTTGTTCTCAGACAGATAGTTTAGAAGAAATACTCTCAGATGCAGTATGCCGATGTGACAGAATCGAAAACTATACTTCGTTCGAAGTAAGTAAAGTGAACGCGTGTGCTTCTAGTAGGCGTTAGTATAGAACCCGCTATATACTTTAGTGTCCGGTACAGTGGTTGGCGACTACTTGTGCAACTGCGCGTTGGGGGTTAAGCCACAACTCTATGGACGGTTCTAATAGTCGAATGCAGGCAGATACTGCGGCTGCAAAGCAGGCGCAGAAGATGCCTGTGGATAGCGGTTTTGCCAGCACAAGGTTTGATATAACACAATATTCCAGTCAAGAAGCGCGGTTAGTGGACGATAACTACGGCCATCTACTGCGCCTGCTTCGAAGCCGCAGCATCTGGCCGGTAATACATGATAGTTCAGTGAGAAATGATGCAGTCCTGTTTACTTTTAAAACCTTGCAAACAATTATTTTGCTCTTTGCACTCTCGCTAATTGCGATTTCGATGTCTCCTGAACGTTACCTGTAACTGGGAATACATTTCGTGACGAACTAAGGGTTGTGAGGCTGGTACTTGTAAGCCAGCAAGCTGGTCTCCCAGGATACATGCTCTAGCTAGATGAAGCAGCTATGAGCAGATAGTATTTCAAACACGCACCGTTATGGATCAATCAGGAACCGGACGATGTCATCCGATTCTTTCGCTTCGCGCCTTGAGCTCAGGACGTTAGAGAGCATGTCTGTGTTTTCAAGGTAATATAGTTAGTTTAAATTACTTGCTCTTGTACTGTAGATGGACGAGCTGCCACACGCTGCCACACCAGATCGGCAAATAGTTTTCATATATGCTGTCGTTTGAGAGGCCGACCGTCGGCCTAACGGCTACACGATTAGCTGACGTTCCTTGAGTTGACGATGTCGGCGTCGGCACTATTTCCGGGGTCGGCTCGCAGCTGCTGGGGCACATATCGGTGAGCTACGGCAACAAGCGTAAGCTAAGAACATCGCTCATCAGCGACGTGGTGCCGAAGACCGGCGAGCAGCGCTGATCTCGGCAACGATTCCTCGCAGCACTCGTGTCCAAATGCGACGAATACGGAATTTTCGAAATGCTCTCCATCACTCTCGAGCTTGTCTCGGACTTGAGATTGATGGAGAGCATAGGCGATATTCAGTTAACTTCAGTTACCGAGCCAGTTTTTCGGCTTCAGTATTACCGGCTTCAGTTACCGAGGTGCCGCCAAAGTAATCTGTGTTGGGCTGGCCACAGCACTCCCTCCGGGGTTACTGCTATCCCAGAAAAAGGAGGCACCTAGAACCCCGCTTTTCTAGTTTGTAGTGGTGCTATCTAATTGCGCGGACCATGTATGTTGCGCTGATACGAAGAGATCGCTAGGTGATAATAGTATCTTATACAGTATACATGCAGCTCTATGGGTGTATGAAAGCATCGGCACGGCAACTAGCTTACGAGAGACAAGTATAGCTAGCACGACGACGGGCAGATGAGGGCATTTTGTCTGAGTGTCGGCCCGTTCGGTTGTTCTGCAGCGAGGTAAGTCCAGCTGGTTCGGTGCCACACCAGCGGAGTTTTTACCGTGAGCACGGGGGGACCGACAAAGCTGAACTGAGACTCGGTTGTATCGCTACTCTAGTTCTAAGGAACGGCCTGTGGTCTGGATCACTCATCATTTTCTCTGCGTTTTCATACAACTTTCCTTAGGATTACACGGAGAATGAATTTGTTAGGAATACACGGTCACTTCTTACGATTGAAGCACAGGAGATCGCGCTAGAATCTACGCCATGATCGCTGCGGCCTTTATGGTGACAAGCTGCAGGGGCTGTCCTACTCCGAGTGGCGCGGCTAACCTTTAGGCTGCTTGCGTCTTGGCCCCCACGTTTTTCGGATAATCCTGTAGGTTGGTACAGTTTGTCTAGAGAACTAATGTCTTAATTGGTAGGTTTGTAGCCGAGCGATTTTGGTTTGCTTCAACGGACTTGCATACCGTTTTCAGGTGCACATCCAGCCCAATTCTCTAGTTGGCCATTTTTGGCGCCCCCAATTTTTTTCCGGCTGCCTGATGTACATGTACTGTCGCCGCATCAATTTCACGAGGAAAAATTAGATATAGAGCGAAAGTATGGCATTCCTGGCTAGTTCGTGATAGCTTTTTGGGAAGTGGGCGTATTTCAACTTGTGTTCCTGGATATGCATGCATTCGCAGCTCCTTTAGCCTCCCCCCGATCTCTTCAGCCATGAACGAGTGTTGATACCCTACGGGTTCTCGCCAAAAAAGGATATGGCGCCAGCCGCTACGGCAGCTTGATAGGAAAACTCGATTACGGCTTCCATTAACCACAACAACTCTGGGGGTCAATGAACTCGCTCATCAAAGCAGACGTTGCGACGTAATTGTAGGAATGAACTCTTATTATTACGTGTACAGCACACGGTGGGATCGACATCGTCGTTGTTATAGTGTAAAGCGCTGCCGAAATCATCACCACTGGAACACTTCAAGGCGGGATCCCGTCAGCATGTTGACCGAGCGAAAAAAATCGGATGGATGTTGCTTGCGCGGTAGATAAATTAGATGTCGCAGGTATATATAATTGATTAGGGAGTATCAAATGTAATAGGTAATTTTTCTTAATCTCAACCCGATGGGTCAACATAGCAGCATAAATTGATTAGGGAGCAGGTTATTTAATATAACAGGAATCTCGACTGCATATGTGAGCAGCAATAAATATCATATTGGTCAGGTATTTGATGCAAGAATAATGGTACCTCAGTGGCATCCACCTATGGACTCTGGATAAAATCCAGAGATAGTACGTAGTACTAAGGTTCAGGCAATATAGTACTTTAACTGTAGTATTTGTTGAAAATCAATGATCTCCATCTCCTGGGTCGTTGGGTTGGCATCAAGGAAATGTACAAGGGTGTAGTTGTGCTCATGCCTCTCCTGTATGTTTGCAGCACTCTGAAGCGGGTAACCAAACCTGCATGAAGAGCCTTGGATGATATGACGGACAGAAAACGATGGTTTCTTATCTTGGATCACACTCCTGCATGCAGTTATGAGTTTATTAGCAACAATGAGCAAGAAGTTGTTCTTGGTGGCGTCGTATCCGAAAGATCGCAACCAGCTCATACAGGGCAGACACTTTTCTTCGGCTGGACCTTCAATCCCGACATTTCTCCAAACTGTTGTAGAAGGTGGTTCAGCGGAACGATTTGACGAGTAGCTGATAGAAAAACTGTACAATCATCTACGAATCCATTAAAAACCTGTCGTCTACCTCCAGAACCCGGAATTTTCAGAACATTAATTTCAGGGTGAGAAGCAATCGCTCGACCAAGAAAATCAATCGCCAAAATAAAGAGAAGAGGTGCGAGCGGGCATCCTTGACGAATTCCTGAATTAACCTCCCACTTCGATGACTCTACCCCATTCACCAATTAACGTGCCGTGGTTCCTGTGTGCAAACTGTGAAGCACATCAAGAAACTCTTGCGGAAAACCAAATTCCATCAAAGCCGTAAGCAGGAAGCTGCGATCCAATGTGTCGTAGGCTTTGCACTCGTCGAGCCCAAGGATGGCGGCCGAGTCAGCCCATGCAATGCTTGCGTCCTCCAGCTGGGTTAGCAACAGTGCTTGGACGACTGTTACGCTTTTAGTCATGAACCTGCCCCGCACAAACCCTTGTTGAGCCAAACTGATTATCCGTGGGAGAAATAGATGAATCCGTTCTGCATAAATTCTGCCTAGGATTTTATAAGCTGTGTGGAGCAGAGAGATTGGACGACAGTCCATTGCATTTCTTGAGTCTCCCTTCTTCCGGAGTGGAACAACTACGGCGTCAAGGAACGAGCTCGGTACCGCTGCACCCTTCTGAATCGCCTGATAGACCATCGTAAGACATTCCGCCATCTCATCCTTGAAGTCCTTGTAAAAATCATGCGAGAGACCCGTAGTTCCTCCAGATTTATCACGAGGGAGTTTGTCGATCGCATCAGCAACTTCTTTCTCTACGATGGGATTCACAAGTTGTTGCTTCTCCTCCGGGCGTAAGCGTTGGGAATCCGGGATCATATGAAATTCTCGGAGAGCTTTCTGCATTTCTGATGGATTGAGAGTCGCGTGTGAGCCCCCCATTATATCATTCCATTCACTTGCCATTTTTTCTGCTACTGGCATTGATTCGGGGTAGTAGTGACCAGGCGCTGGAGAAATATCAGAGATCGTTTGATCACGTTGCCAATCCGCGTGCCGTTTGTAGAAGTTTTTAAGATTGGCTACCGTCGGTTGTAGAGTTCTGCCAAACGCTCGTTGGCCTTGTCGTACACGGGAATTGTTGGCGATTCGCTGTAAGTCCTCTCGTGATTTGGCTTCACAATTCAGGCACTTCCTCAAATTGTTGTAGTGAGACGTAGTTCTTTACTTATCCATTCGCGCCACGTCTCTGAGCATTATAGAGATCTGCCTAGCAAACGTATCCCATGCTCTTGCTGGGTAGCTTTGTTGGAAAAATGTCGCTTTCAACTTGTGTAGTCTTTTCCGGATTTGTTTATGAACCCATTCTGGTGAAGCGCTTCGAATAGGGTAGTGCGATTTATTTTTCCTCCCTGCACTGGATTTACGTAGCGTGAGCCAGAGCCGTACTTCCTGATGATCGGATTTATTGCTCGGTGGCCGTGCTTCAATCCATTGCGCTAGTCCCGCAAGATCATTGCTCAGATAGAAGTGATCCAGCCTGCTTGCAGACTGCTTTCTCCAAAAACTAAATGCGTCAAGGGGTCGGGAACGCTATCTTCGTTGGCATGCGTTGTAAGCTGTACCGCATCGAGGAGGTCGAGCTGATCTACCAGTCGGTCAAGCTCAACACTTTCACAGGACTTCGCACTTGGTAATCCATTAATTATTCGATCAAGAGAAGGCTGCAGAACGGCATTAAAATCTCCCCCCAGTAGAAGCAGCTTGACTTTTGAAATCCAACTCTGCAGATCGCTATAAAAACTGCGTTGAGCCTTCCTGTCTGTTGGCGCGTAGATGTTTACTAGCGTCCATTCTCGAAAGCGCAGTCCAATTCGTCGTCCCGTCCACTCACTTGGTCTCCACGGGCTGACTTGAGCTGCGATATTCGGCTGCAAAAGAATACCAATGCATCCTGACGATCCTTCCATCTTCGACCAGTAACTGAGGGGTTGTTTCGGCTCCTTAATACCCCACACCCTGTTCCACATTTCTGCTACCTCATCAATTTCCTCACTTGTCTTCAGGTGAGTATCTTGTACATAAATTACGTCGGCTGGTCGTAGACTTGTACGTTGTTTCCAACCACGCAGCCACCCAGATCGACGCTCCTTTTTAAAGCCTTGTAAATTCTGTGTAATCACATGTAGTTCTGCTCGATGCTGTTTGTTTTTCTTGTTATCTAACCCAGATCCATAAAACAAATCTGCCATTTGCTGCAGTTCTGTATATAGGTCCAAGTCCTCCATTGCGGTAGTATTGAGCATCTTGGTTCATCTAATCCTGCATGACCTCCGATTCGGTCGCTGCAATAGTTTCATTCTGCATCCTAGTAGAGATTCTAGCGCGGCCCAGTCTCCATCCGAATCGTTTGCGTAAAATGCCCTCTGCACACTAGGGAACCGCTGAAGTGCAAGAAGAAATCGATTGAGAACCTCTCTTGTGGAGAACTCTATCGATTCGGGTCGCCCTTGCATTCTGCCTAGTTCAGGTGCATACACAAATGCAGCGATGAGTTTCCGCGAGAGGTAATCCGTTTTCCGCTTTTTACAAAGTTGAAGGAGCTGAACAGCGTCGGGCTTGAGCTTGTTCAGAATACCCCACAAATCCGGAGAGTGAAGATAGCTGTCATCAACCATTGTAGCTCTTTCCTTCCGGAAGAAATCAAGCCACGACATCATCGAATTGACAGCTTCTGCATCCACATCGACACCTTCATTTCGTCGTCGTTCAATCACTTCACCAAGCTTAGCTATGCCAATGATAAGACAATCAATTCGATATTGACGGGTCCAGTCCAGAATCGTATTAACTTTGAGCGTCCTCAGCACATATTCAGGCGAGTCAACTTGCTGTAGCCGCTCGAGCAACACATTCGGATGCGCAGTCACCGCGTTTTACCAGGTCACTGCGTCAGCCGGGAGCCGGGGAAATGGTACTGAGCTGAAGTTTTCCCATCTTTCTTCCAGCGCATTCCACTCGTCTCTTTTAATGCGCTCCGTGCTCCTACCACCTCCAGTGAATCTACTCCGTTGGCTATCCGGAGGCTCTTTTGGGACGTTAGAGCTAGTGGACAATTCGCTTCATGACTCGATCCAGATGAGGCGATACTTGGAGTCCATTCCGACGTATTTGATGCTTCCATATCCACGTCATCATCGTCTGGCGTGGTTGTGCCGTCGACACCATCTTCTAGCAGTCTCTGCTGCCAACGAACTAACGTTGTTTTGGGTTCTCCGGTCATCCTAGTGATCAAATCGACTTGCGAGCTTTCGTCCCAATTGAGATTGAGCAGAAGTTTTTGCAGACCCGGGGCTAGTCCATGTGGGCCTTGAGCTGGAAAAGCTTGTAGCTCCTGCTTACGATGTCCTCCATTCATGAGTATTTCTTGTAGCTCTGCCTGCTCTCTATCGGATAGACCTGAATCCTGAATTGCTGTAAGTAAATCTTCATTTTGTGCATACGCTGCCGTTGCCTGTTGTCGGTTTGGCTCATTTGATCGGCTCTGATTATCTTGCATGCTCGAGTTGCGAACGGGTGTTGGCTCCTCGGCCACTACAGCTTCCAAAGCAAAAAAAATTCTCCAACAATTCATCACTGGGCGCTTCTCCAAATTGTAGTCGGGTGTAGTGCTGAGAGCCAAAATGAATAACAATCGGCAGTGCACCTGCCTTCTCCCCCTCAACACAATCTTCTTGCAGCGATGTTAGCCATTGGACAACCGATTCACCTCCATAGTTAAATTCTCCTGCGGACATCAGCTCATCAGTAGAAGTAACTTTACGGATGGGCTTGAAAATCTGATAACTAGCATCAGCGAGACCACTTGGTGTTACGACCAGATAGATCGGTCGCTGGAGTAGCTTCGTTACTAACAAGAGAGTCAGCTCAGATCCCCAAAAAGATCGAGGGATGAAAGCAGTGCTCTTCGAGCTGCTCCTGCATACGTCCTCAATATATTCGCGGAGATACTGCGACGATTCCTGAACAGTAAGCTCCCCAGCGCGCTGAATGTGAGAGCTGAGAATTGTTTTTCTGATATCGTGGGGAAACTCCACATCAAACCCGTGTTCCGCTGCCATTTGGACTCCCTTTTTCAGTTTGATTGCCACCCTTTCGGCCGCCTTTACGGTCTCAGGACCCGAAAAATCAACATTCAGCAACGCCATAGCAATCGCGTAGAATTGACAGTTACCAGTGCCTGGCGTCGAAACAGAATTTTGTCCACATCGCTTCAATACTTCAACCCCTGGTAGCTGGCCGACGCTGGCAAGGTCAATGTCCCGACAAAGGCTTGCTCTTTCTGGCTCGCGCAAATATTGCCGCTTGTAAACAGCTTCGCAGATGAGCCGATTTTGCTTCGACAATGACTCCGGTCTCATGAGAAACGTCTTGCCTGATGACTTTGGCAATTGCTGTTCTCCTCCCTCCGAATCAGATGAAGAGTCCGACAAATCGTCCAGGTTAATAACATCTTCCCGTAGCTCAGTATCCTTCTTCGCTCGCGGGGCGTTCTCTTGAGAAAACTCGGCCGCCGCTTCTCGTGCTGTCTTTCCTGGGCGGAACGTTCTCGATTTAGATGGCATTTTCCACTCCTCATGCACTCTTGGCTCCTGCAACGGGAGGCAAGACTCGGAGTTTCCGTTCTGTTCCTTGACATTCTGACTGATAGCCGAAGTTCCGCTGATCTTTTGGTTAGACTTCGTTTTATCCTTCCACATATTTTCCAGTTCCTGAAAACTTGTAACCGTGGATTTATGTCGGTCAAAGGAAGAGATTTCTTTCGTCGTGACTATAATACAGCCACTACCACGAGACCACGCATCTGAGTGAGAACGACACCGAGCAACTGTGTGCCCGGATACACCACAATTATAACACGGTGGTGCTGGGTTCGTTCCGACATGGTGCACAAGAATCTTCTTTCCTATCCAGTTGATGAACTTCACTTTGTCCAAAAACGATGGACACCCTGGGGAGTTGAAGTAAATCTCCCATGCCCCCGTCTGGAACATTTGGCGTCTGTACTTCGGTTCTTGGAACGTAATGTAGCTGCCTGAGAACCTCGAGCGAATAAAGGCGTCTAATGCTGCCTCATCCATAAATCGCGATACGTTGAGAAGCTTTACTCGGTAGCGACCATGCTGCTGTTCATTGCGCACTCCGTCTACACTAATTTGACGCCTCCAAATTCTCGCACTGCGCTGCTTTGGAGTATCACCCGGTTGGCCGTCGGCCGGTCTGGCATTCAACAACAGAAAACGGCGGTTGCGAAATGGTACACTCTTAAACACGGCTGACCAGCCTGTGCTCGTTTCTCGCGTCTAGAAGAACATGTGCACTGAGTGCTGCTGAGAATTGTATCACACTTGCTTGGTTTCGCCTAGCATCTGGGTGAGTTTGGCTTGATCCATGTCGCCTCGCTTGGCGCCTTGAAGAATAGCCCCCACCAGTCGCTCTCTCGTTTGAAAATCGGGGTAAACGGGGAATTCCATAGGTAGCTGGAAAGACAGTTCTCCTTCAACTTGTGCATATATCGTGTTCTGGATTGCTCTGAGCATGTCATTCTCACACGTCCTCTTTAGAAATTGAGGTAGTCCTTGCGCCAATATGTTGCCTTCGAGTAGACCTTGTGTTATCATCATCTCCACTGATGTTGGTGCGCGTAATGCAACCGGGAAATCATGCTGTTCAGTGTACGCCGCCCGCATTGCTTCTATCTCCTCGGATGAATACACGTCACTCCGAAAGCGCACAATCGGGTTCGCTTCTTCCATTGGATCATCTTCCTGGCTATCCGCTGCTCGTGCTAACGGGTTCGCAGACCATGGGTTAGATGTGGTTGTAGTACGGACCTTCATCTCGCTCTCTCTTAGTTCAATCGTATCCAGTAGAGAACGACGCGAGCCGTAGATGGATTTCGTGAGATCACGAAGCCGGTTCTTCCACTGCTGGCACATTGCTCCATCCTCCATGACCTGGACCCAAAACAGCCGTAGGAGCCCATCTAATTCGACTTGCAACAGCGTCGGAAAGTGATCTTTTTCCTCTGGTAACTCGCCACTGTCATGCATCTTAAAGACGGTTGTGAACATCTGCTGCATGAGGTACCGATCCTCAGAGCTGACCGACACGGGAGTAACGGCTTTTGTATCCCCGGTGGTGGCTTGAACATGGCTCAGAAAGGTATCGAACAGTGTCGGGAACGGTAGCCCATGTGAGGCCGCACCTGGTGGTCCATCTCGAGGCTCTTCTTCTGGTTCTTCTTCCGTCGAATAGTTTTTGTCAGTTTTTCTTGTTTTCTAATTTTTCTGGTTCTTCTGGTTTTGCTCTTCTTCACATTGCGCTGTTTCTGGTGGTGATGGTGGACTGGAAAGTGGACACGCTGGGCCAAGCTCAGTCGTCTCTTCATCATCTGCCGTATTGCCACTCTCCTTTCCAGCTGTAGCTGCTTCCTGCTTGCAATCACCGCTATCCAGGGAGGAACGCCCTCAGCTGCAGCTTCCTCCATCTTCTGC